TGATTAACTACTCGTATAAGTTTTTTTTTTTCTTATTGTAAATCGATAACAACCATAAAGTGTATTAGTTACTTTCTTTTTTTTTTTTTTTTGTCATATTCAGAGGATAACACAATTCCATGAAAAATTCCAAAAGAATTCAAGACACAAATATTCAAAACTAAACTAGACATCAGCTAGTAGAGTATCTAGATGCACTACACGCATTCACACCATCATACTTTATGATCACAAGCAAGTACTTTATTATAATTATCATTACCAATAATTAATAGTTAATTATTCATTAAATAAGCGAGTCTGTGTAAAAATTTAGCGTTTTTTGTTCTTGTTTTTTTTTTGTTTTTTTTTTTGTTTTTTTTTTTGTTTTCAACACATTCGCACTTTTCTCACTGTCTCTAACCAGTTTATGATCTTGAGCGCAACATTTGCAAAAATCAAAAGTTTTTATGATTCTTTCTTTTTCCCTTCTTTTAAATTTCGTAAACTAATATCTGTCGCGGCTGGAAGAAGTAACCACTCCTTAAAGTTGTAAGTCAATCACACTACTTTTAAATATTTTACACGTGTTTAATAACACACTTACATTCACTATTTCCATTACACTTCACACATCTTTATAACTTTCTTTACTTTTCTTTAGTATTTGTCTTAAATAAAGTACAATCTAGCAACCACTATTTTTATGTTTAATCTTTTTAAAGTTTTCCTTGAAGACTCACTGATGGCTGCAACAATCCCCGTTTTCAAGATGTTGTTTTAAGATCATCTCTGCTTGTAACTATTCAAGATAATTATTATATAGTTTAGTAATATTTCCAATGGACGATCTTAATTTGCTATAATTAACATAACATGATTTTTTTCAACTATCTTTAAACTTTATTACAATGGTCTAAGGTGTATTTCTTATTCTTTAAAGGCATCAGCATTAACCATTGTCACAGCACATGCAGTTTTCGAAAAATCTGTTTCGTGATGATCATATTTCAGTTAATTTTTAAACTCTTTTTTGTTTCACAATTATAATATTTTCTTAACTCTGGTCCAAAAAGCAATATGTTTTTATTTTTATTATTTTTTTTTTTTTTTGGAACTTATAGAAGACTACTTAAATTTTCACATTTTTTACAAGAAATTTAATATTTATGCTTTGAAGAAGCAAAATGTATTACAGATCACGAATTTATAATTTTCAGTCAAATTGTATTGATGTCAATACTGAAATTTAAGTATTGCATTACAACCTTCTCAAAGGTACCTTGTAATTTAATAATGTATGTACAATCAGAACATACACACACAATTTATAAGCCTTGTCTTTTTCAGGTGATTGACTATTATATACATTAGCTTTAGAGGCACATTTTGCGCCAATTGGCTTTACAGAATTATCATTGATGATTTGACTCAAAAATTAGTACAGTTTTGGCGATCGAAACCGAAAGTTAATATAACTTTTTTGATACAGGTTCGATCAGATTTGCTTGTATTTAGATATATATTCGATCTTGTATTAGTTAGCAGACTCTTCTGGCTGTTTACAGTTTTATAACGAATAACTTGTAATAGAGGTAATTTTGTGGTACAAAAACGTTAATGTGTTATTTACCCCATATTTCTTAGTGCCCATTTCACTGACCACTGTAGAACTGTATACGACCACCTGCAGTTACTGGCATTTCTCTCATAACAGCGTCCCATGCTATATTAACAAAAAGAAACAAATGAAAAGAGTTTGAATTATTATAAATTACAATTAATAATTTGAATACTATAAAACATATATATTTCCTATTTATAATTTAATCATAAATTGTTATTGAGGAAGCTAATTATATTAAAAGTGTTACAAACCAATTATTTTAAAAATGATTATGACGATCGAAACTTTTTACAAATATTTTCGATTGTTTTCAAATGATTAATCGTCAATTTTAAAATATAATATAAAACTCTAAAATAAAATATATTTACCTAAACCAACAAATGAGACAATTTTATCATGATTGTACGTTTGTATATTAACGTCTTCTTCAGGTGCTACATAAAGCATAGAAAAGTCTTCTTTCGGTTGATGATGATATTTCTCCATTATTCCTGGCGGAGGTGTAGGTGGTGGTGGTAGACATGTAGGAGGAGGAAATCTTGGAGGATAACCCATACACGGTAATCGTTGTACCATCACTGGATGCAAAGGTTGTTGAGTTACATGCGTATTCGGAGATTGCATGAAATTAGGCGTAAATTTATCACATCTCATGTGTTTATCAAATATCGGAGGATATCTATCAAAATTAGAAGGTGGTTTGTTTATAAGTGGTGGAACTACAGAAGGAAACACAGAAGTGGCACTTGAGGTCTCTTCGGTTGTCGAATCTTCTGATAATAAAAGTTGTTCGTTAATTTCAAATCCGAACCTAAGCTCTGTTGGCAACTCACTGTTCTTGGTAATATCTGATGAAGTTTCATCTAATAATATAACCGCAGGCCTCGAAATTTTTTGTTTATTAGACATTTGTGACTCTGTTTTTTGCGTTTGATCTTT